GAAGCCCCCCTGCTCCGGCCCCGCCGCCTCCCGCTATCCCTAGAACCAGCGGTCGCCGGGGGAAGGGAGGCGCTGGGCCACCTCCTGTGTTTGTGAGAGAGTTCGGTTTATGTCGGAGGAGTTTGTGAGATATTTTCTACCCTCACTGTTAAATGGTTGGTGAGTATATAGTTACTGGAAAATGGGAGGCTTATCTAGACATCCCCAGAATTAGTGACACTAGTTTCCTCTGATTTGCACCTGTGGTGATGGATGAGATTTTCCTTTGTAAAATATGCTACTTTCTTTAAGAATATATTTAGTTACTCTTAAGTAACCGTAGTAGTAGTACCTTTAAGAGTGTTATTTAGTACCTTAGCAGTAGTAGTGCCCTTAAGAGAAACAGTCTTAAATCAAACTGATCTTCACATGTCCAAAATGTTGGACTCTGAGATAGGCTTTTAATCATGTGCTGAATGGTTTATGTGGACATAAGCATGGTTGTAGAAGCTGGTATGTTTATATGCAGAGCTGCCTGCTGGCTGTGTGTTTAGATAAGCTCACAACCATAGTATAACTGCAGTGACGTTAGCCAGCGGGTTTAGGAAGTTTGTTCTGGTGCTTCTCTGTGGTGGGATGCCTTGCTGTTAGACAGCCGTGCTGCTGTGTAATCTATCCTGAATATCAGACCGAGCCACAGCTTTGTCTCTTTTTTTCTCTTTTTTCTGTCTTTGTAATGGTCTTCTACGTTGCAAAATAATTTATTGCTATGGAGACAAAAATAATTAAAAGCTTTTACCTTTGGCAAGAAGAGTCAAACAGAGTAATAGTAAACAGGGCAGCCTGGTTATGTCTATACTTCAGTCAGATAGGAAAGTGCAGCTTATGTACATCATACTGTAGTTAGCTTGCTCATCAAACTTGCTAGTTTGAATTTTATAACATTGCAGCATCGTATCACACCTGGTTTGATGATACATATGCTAAAATTTGATACAGGGAAGACTAATGTGGCTTCTGCTCCAGGAAGATGCAAACCTGTTTGTAGTATTGTAGAGAAGGCTTCTCTGAGCCTATGGCTCTTGTGAATGGCAAAGCCTTCTCTGACGTAGTTGAACTTGATGTTTCCTGTGTCTCACAGGTAATGTATGAGCTATTGCCCCAGTTTTGAGAAGTTCGTTTGTGTTCGTTTTCAGGACCGGAACTAAAGGAGTGGGTTAAAGTACATGTCTTAGTGCTTTCCTGAAAGAGACCTCCCAAAATAATCTTTAGTTTCCTCCCTGATGAGAGAATGCTTATCTACCTTGACTTCTTAATTTTCTGATATAGTCAATATCTGTTGTCAGCTATGGAATGTTGTCTTGTTTGATGGTAGCTGGTACTTATAATGTTCACATGCATTTATTGCTTTATAATAAACTAAGTGACATTCATGCATTACTTGTGCAGGTGACTATTACATGGTTAAAAAACTCTTAGAGGAAAACAGCTCAGGTGAAATGAACATAAATTGTGTGGATGTGCTTGGACGAAATGCTGTTACCATAACCATTGAAAATGAAAACTTGGACATACTGCAGCTTCTTTTGGATTACGGCTGCCAGGTATACAACACATTGAAAAGTTTCAGGGTAGTCATTGATCTGTGTATTCTACTCTTTATGTATTTCCTCTGTTAATCTGTCAGAATTTGGAAGGAAATAGACTGTGTCTTTATAAGCAGTTCAGTTCTTTTTCCATTTAGTAATTGTGGAAGTGTTTTCTTCTCACTAATTTACTTTTCTAGTGTGATTTTATTGGCATGGCAAATGTATAGTAACATTTTCAATGATATTGACAAGTCTGAGTTTTATTTTAAACATTATTCCTGTTACAGTGAGAAAGTATACATTATCTTCAAGCCAAATAAACACTATATAGTCAGACTGCATCCTATTAAAAAGTATAGAATGCAGAGATCTCTTTGTATAGTAACTTCTGAAAAGGTAGTGCAGTTAGAAGAATGCACATTATATTAGGTGATTTTAAGTTAAGGCAAGCATGTGTTTCTGTGGTTCTTTCTTGTTAAACTTGATCTATACTTGATGGCAGAGGCAGTTTCATACCAACGGTACTTCCTCATGCGACATCTCTGCTGCTGGGAGAGTTGTAGCTATGATGGCTTAAGTATCTAAGTCAGGGAAAAGTAGTATCTTTTGTTAGATTGTTTGATACTGGCTGGGGAAGAAACCAACAAGCTTTCCCCTCCATGGATCTCCTTTTTAATGGCAACAATAAAAGCTATGTCTTTTATTTTTAAAGTAAAAATTTGAATTTTCTAACGTGAGTTATAAGGAATAATATCAACTGTAAGGAAAATTAAAAGCTGCTTCGTTCAACTTAAGAGAAGTTTCAGAAGTAGTTACCAGCCCAGGAAAAAAACCCCACCTTGTTCTCCTAGCTTTACCACAGAACTACAAATGTGGGGCTCAAGTTTCCCATATGCCTGAGTTATGTTACACAGATGCTTGTTCTTAACATTTTTAATAACCTGGTAAATTGTGCTTAGAATTTGATTTTTGCAAGTATCCTGCATCATCTTTCTTGGAAAGTAATGTCTGCAATTTGTTCTTCTGCTGTTCATGCAATGAAACAAATTGTCAGTAGTGCTGTGCTAACTCCTGGAATGACAGCCTGAATTTGTATCCTGATCATATGCATGGTGATAGTACAGAACGTTGTTTTAGTACTTTAAAAATAAATTTATTTTTAAAAAAATGCAGTTTGGCTTCAGATTGAGTCTTTACGCTGTTTAAGTCACTGCTGTTTTCACATACAGCTTGTTTTCTTTCCTTAGTCGTCAGATGCACTTTTGGTGGCTATTGACTCGGAAGTGGTTGGAGCTGTTGACATTCTACTTAATCACCGACCAAAAAGATCCTCCAGACCAACCATTGTAGTTGAGTGTTGTTATTCCTTGATTTTTGGTGGGGGAATGGGGGCCTGTGCCATTGTGTTCTGGATAACTGTAGTATTTAAAACAGTGTTCTTAAAATAAATTCTGCATCTCTAAGGTGATAGAGTCTGGACATTAGGGATTATTTTTATAGCCTCTTTTGTCCTAAAGCATAGAATACATTGTTTTGCTTTACCACCTAAGAAACCCTGTGGCTTTGTACGTGCCAGATGCTAACAGATGCCTAGTTAGTCCAGAAGAGAAAAAAACAGAGTTGCTATGAATCTTTTCTTGTAGACTGTTTGCAAGGTAATTGGCAGCCTTCACCTATAATGGGTATATTTGTGTATATAGCTTCATAGATTTTTCCGAGGAAATCTATAAGCATCAAATCTTCACTTCGAAATTAATCAGTTGAAACTTATCTTGGCAATGCTCAAGTATCAAAGAACTTTTAAAAGCTCACAAGTAGAGGTGGAGGGAGGGTAACAAGAGTGTGATACAGTCAGGATATGTTTTCTGTGCTTAGATAGTAAATATACTCAATTTTTTCTCAAACTAGAGCAAAATACACTTTTTAATATCATGTGTGTATATTGGAGAAGGTGGGCACTGAATGTTAGATTTTCTGTGTAAATAAACCAGAAATATTTCTGTGTCCATTTTTCTTTTTCCAGTATTTACCTGAGAGGTGTTTTAATGTTGTTACAAATTCTTCCTTATTTTCATGTTATGAAACACTGGAAAATATTTTGAAGGAATATTGTTGAACAGCCAAAAAAACCCCTTATATATAAACACCGTAGTAGAACTGTATGCAATAAATTTAGCTACGTTTTATTGCAGAAACTAATGGAACGCATTCAAAATCCAGAGTACTCAACGACCATGGATGTGGCCCCTGTCATTTTAGCTGCTCATCGTAACAACTATGAAATTCTCACCATGCTGTTAAAGCAAGACATATCTTTACCCAAACCTCATGCTGTAGGCTGTGAGTGCACACTGTGTACTGCAAAGAACAAAAAAGATAGTCTACGACATTCCCGGTAAGACTTACCAGTCATGGATGATAATAAAAAAATTCTTGTCTTAATTCTCTGGTATTGCTTGGGTCAGATTCAGTATATTTCCTTTTTAAGATGAGGCTTATGAGTAGATTCCTTTGATATATTGTAGCCTTTATTGTGAGAGATGGTAGTTCTCAAGGATGGGTTGTGCTTGAAAAGGCTGGTGGGAGGCAGTAGCTTTTTTTCATTTTGGTTTTATGCTCTCAGTCACTGTGCATGTTAAGCTAAGTGCCTTTCCTTTCTACCAGTTGTGTCACAAACATTCTAGCTATCTTTGTCTTGGGAGTGTAGGAACTATGCAAATATTTTTTTTTTCCTTAGGTTAGTTAATACTTGGGGGTTTTTGAGCCAGAATGAGGAGGTGGATAATTCTGTATCCTATTTCTAAAAGTGTTTATGTAGCATGGATTGATGAACGCAAAGTAAAGACTTTTTTTTCTTTTTTTTTCTTCAATGTTTTTGAAAGTGGAAAGCTTTTTAATAAAGGTCCAAATGAGGGATTTACCAATCTTAACAGTATTTTGTCTGTTTAACTCGACCACGTATTTGAGGGTTGAATGCAATTTAATATGTGAGAGTTGGGATCAAAAATCACAAAGCTCAAAGATGATAAGTGGACTGCAACTACAATATACAATTAATTATTACATAATTACGCCAGTATGTATCCAAATTACTAAAAAAATAAAGTAAGTGAAAGGATAATGTTACTGGTATTCAGCTACTACAGGCCACATTCTGATATCCATCTGATACCCGATGTCATTAACTTCAATATGCAAAAAGGTGTCAGGGTATCCCAAGCAAACAAACAATAGAAACATTTGAGATGCCAGCTCTTAGTTTAAACTAGAATGGATAATAGATTTTGGTTTACTGTTAATGAGTTGCTGATTTTGCAAGAGGAAAGCATCCCTTCAGATGCTTTCCCTGAGGTTTTTTTGTGTATATTGCACATTAAAGCTCCTCAATGTTTTTAATTTAGTTTGTTAAAATAGAAGATTGTCTTAAATGCTTTACTTCTCTTATTTCCACTTGAAGAACCATAACAGCTATTGTATAACACTTAAAATGTCAAAAATTTTCCAATACTGTTACCTTAACTGTCAGCCTTCTGCTGATGTACTGATAACAGTTGAAGTAGTGAGGAAAAGAGGAGAGAACCGGTTTGGCCAATTTTTGATACTTAGAATAACAAGGATTGTAAGTATGTGAAGGACAATATCTTCCATGGCATATCACATTTAATGCTTGTAGTGTCTGATTTTAAGAAACCCAATTGTTTTGTCTTTCAGCTGACTGTTTTATGCAAACTTTTGGAATAGGTTCTGATTTGAAACTGCTTATCAAATGAAACATCTTCATTTTGCTTGCTATCCTTTTGTCGCAGGTTTCGTCTTGACATTTATCGGTGTTTGGCCAGTCCTGCTTTAATAATGTTGACAGAAGAGGATCCGATCCTGCGAGCTTTTGAACTTAGTGCAGACTTAAAAGAATTAAGTCTTGTTGAGGTTGAATTCAGGTAGGAATTCAAAACACAACCCAAATTTAATACTTTTATGAAATTACATGTATAGTATTTTCTTTGGAAAATATGCGAGCAGTGTAATAATATGTACTGTTTCTGTGTCTTTCAGAAATGATTATGAGGAGCTAGCTCAACAGTGCAAAACCTTTGCTAAAGATTTGCTTGCACAAGCACGGAATTCACGAGAGCTGGAAGTTATTCTGAATCACACATCTAGCGATGAACATGTAGACAAGCGAGGATTGTTGGAAGAGAGGATGAACTTAAGCCGCTTAAAACTTGCAATCAAGTATAATCAAAAAGAGGTTTGTCTTTGCAGTAATTCGATAGGCTTTCTGTATCACATTCTGCTAGTAATTCATTTAATTTGTTGTTTTGCATCTAGACATAGAAGTGGAAGTAAATTTGCAAGAGTATAGAAGAAATGGTAATACACAGAATATCTGCATGTGAAACAGGGAAATGACATTGCAAGATACTGAGTGTTTCTTCAGTATTTACTGTGGAGAAGAATGTAGCATTTTCTGTACTGGAGTATAGATGACTGCTCTTTTATGAACAACTCTGATAGTGGTAATAATTTATTCAGATCCTCATTAAATCCTTGCCTAGGGAAGCATGGATCCATAGGTGCCATACATGATTTATTACCCACTCACTTGTCATTAGCTGTTCAGCTTTGGCTCAGGCCTTGTCTGTGCTGCTCAGTAATTATGTTAGACCTATGCTGGTATAACTGAATAGCATCTCTGTCCAGAATAGTAGCACCTTTTTTATGCCATCAGTATGGAACTTATTTCATGCAGTAGGTCAGTGTTGTCTTTATCCATTGACAAACTATAACTGGTTTTGCTGTGCTAGAATGTAAATGGGCATTTGTGGGATTCTGGTACAAGAACTGGGGACAGAAAGAAAGTTTCCTTTCCATGCAAAATCCATTTTCAGTTATCATTTGCAGAAGGCATTATAATTCTGTCTGTTCTATGTATCCAGGCTTAAACTGTTTGTGAAACTGTAAAAACATGTAGTTTTTAAAAGTCGTAAGCCGTAGTTATGGAATGTCTTAGACCCAGCATTACACGTTTCTGGTATGCACTAAACAAGCATGCTGAAATATTTCAGATGTTCTTTTGGTTTTGAGTATAACTTGTTTTTACCGCAGTGGTTGGAGAATAACAACATTTTTTGTGTGGTATGAGGAAAGTATCTTTGCAGAATATGTTTTATTCCTGGCAGTTAGAGACAAGTTTTTTTTGTGATGCTTTCTTAAATGTGATGATAACATCAAGGTGGTTCTTGTTGTTATTTTTTAAATTAAATGACAGACCATCCTCTAGGGAAATATATTCTTTTGTAATTCCATACAAATACACACCTGAAGTTTGAAACTACCTTTGCATAATCTACGTAACCTTCGGAACAAATTATCTTCTTTTGAGTGATTGATACAGCATAGCTTACTCTGACTTAAAATTAAGCCTGCTGAATAGAGCCATAATGATTTTAAGAACTGATATGTATAAAACTGGCTGGTTTAGTCCTTATCTTACAAGGTATTGTGTTTTACAGTGTGCATAGTATTTTACAGTAACAGTATCCTTCAGATAAGATCACTGTATTTCATAATAACATCCAATGAATCTGTCTGAGGTGATGTTAGATTTCTAAATAAATAGAAATCAAAACTCATTCTTAACCTGAAAACCATTAAAAGTCTAGTATGTATAATTCATGTTTAGTTGCTGGCTTTAGGAGGAAATTAACATAATGGCTGTTTGTAATCATAATGGGTCCGTAGCACTTTTATTCTCTTACGAGATAATTATTTTAGCTTAATATTCTTGGCTTTTCCTGTTCATTGATGACTACACATAGTTTGAAAATGAGTTTTAATAATGTAAATTAGTAATCTGTATTAAGAAACCTGAGACTGATTTCTTGTTTGTTTCTTTTCTTTTTTTTTATTTTTCCCCCCAGTTTGTTGCTCAGTCTAACTGCCAGCAGTTTCTAAACACTGTATGGTTTGGACAGATGGCAGGCTATCGACGCAAGCACACATGCAAGAAAATTTTGACTGTTTTGACGGTTGGCATTTTCTGGCCAGTTCTGTCCCTTTGTTACTTGTTAGCCCCTAAATCTCGAGTAGGTCGAATAATTCACACTCCTTTTATGAAGTTTATTATTCATGGAGCTTCATATTTCACGTTTCTGTTATTACTTAATTTGTACTCCCTTGTCTACAATGAGAATAAGAAGAATACAATGGGACCAGCCCTTGAGAGAATAGACTATCTTCTGATAATATGGCTAATTGGTAGGTATGATTTGAGTAGATTGGATGACAATTGCTGATGCTGATCAAACAATAATAATTTGTACTATCTTCTTATGAAATTAGTGTGTTACTTATTGCTTGACTGAAGTTTACTCTTTGGAGGCTAGTGTTACAGGAAGAAGAAACCCAAACACGTTTTGATGAAGGGATGTGGAGTGTTAGAACAATCTCTAGTTATCACAGAAAGTGCAGTATCAGAAATGGAATATTGTAGGATCAAACAGAAGAGGAATGTGAATTTTTCTTCAGAAGGACTGGTAGCATTCAGAGTGATGCAAGTGAGATTCAATTGTGCAATAACAAAAATGTAAAAGCTGTGTATCTTCCTAGACATTTTAAAATTGTGATCTTAATAAAAATAAAAAAAAAAAGAGAAAGGAAGAAAAATAACCTGAAGGCAAAGCAAGCGTGTGTTCCTCTTCCTTGGTGCTAAGTTGAGGAATAAAATTAATTTAGACATCACTTTAGACTTTTTCCAATAATTTTTCATGAATAGGTAGTATTATTTAGTATGTAGATGGTTTAATCATTGTGAGTCAAACTTGTTTTGTTTCTTCATCAGCCAGCGATCCACAAAACTTTTAATTTCTTCCAGCTCCCTTTTACAAGAAGTGTTTGGCCAACGCTCACAGATACATGATTTGACTTTTAGGTTGCCCTGTGTGGAGTCAGTAGTTGAACTTGATGATCCATGTGGGTCCCTTCCAACTCTGGATATTCCATGATTCTATGAATTCTATAAAATGTAGTAGGAATGATTTGAGCTTCTTAATTATGTGTCTGTGTATGTGTCCTGGTCTTGGCTGAGATAGAGGTAATTTTCTTTCTAGCAGCTGGTATAGTGCTGTGTTTTGGATTTAGTATGAGAATTATGCTAGAATCTGAATATTACTAGTAAAGTTATTGTTTCTTTGAAAATCTAGGTAATATCTTTATGTAATAATAAAATAGATTAAAAGTATTTGTGCATTCCATGCAAGTTAATTTAATTTTTCTGGATTGTAAATAGTTGGAGTAAGCATGCAGTTACAGTCATAAAATTATTTCCTGTACTGATTTAATTTCTATTTTAATATGCTCTAACTAGATAGAACTGGAGGATTCTGTACATTTTTTTTGGACTAATCCAACTTTAAACAATTGCCAAAATCTAGGGTTCTGCAAAATCTCTTTCGTAGTTGTAAATGTGAAATTTTTACAGCATTCTACTTAGCTCAGAGGGAGGACTTTGAATATATATACACATATATATATACACACACACACAAAAAATTCCCAGTTTAGCGGTACATCAGCAATAAGTAACAACTCAGTCTTTCATGACCAATTTTGTAATGCTTGATTTGAAAAGTAAATAATAATACAATTTGGACTTGTTGCAGTTAGCATATTGTTTAAAGAAAAAAGTATATGTTGTGTATGTTTATGTATGCATAGGTATATGCACGCATACTCTATCTTAGCCTAATAAATTGAAGGTATGTGTTTACCTCATCCTTGTTTTAAAACACAGAAACAAGTGTTATTTTCCCATACTATAACTTTCCATTTGTTTATGTCATTGTTACTGGTTATCATAAGTGTACCTGCACAGATGCATGTTAATTCTGGTTGATGCAGTAGAGGGAGCACAGGTATTATTTTTGTTGAGTACTCACGAACTCTTGTTCTGGTTGGAAATTCATAAAACCTTTTAACATGTTTTTGGTCGGTTGGTGGGCATTTGTTTTTACATTAAAATTTGGCAGATAAATTCATGGAAACTTACACCTTAATATATGTAATTAGATATGTATAATTTGGTTGACTACACTTTTAAAAAGTAATGATATAGTTGAAAACACTACAGTTTTTATCTAAGTAGTTGTGGGTGGTTTATTTGTTATTTTAGGGTGGGTTTTTTTGTAATGGTAATTCCTTTCATTGTTCTGTTGAGTAGTTCATGCAGATTTTGGAAATATCTGGTACCCCACACACAAAGGCATGCAGATCTTAAAAGAAACTTGAAAGCTTCAAACATAGAGTCCAAGTCAGCGTTACAGACTCCTCCTTTGTTTTGAGATTCAATATCTGATTTTAGAAATTCTTTTGTTCTGTCAAATCTAATATAATCTTGTGTGCGTGTTGGTAACATCAATTATGGCGTGCTCTACTTCTCCAACTCTTTTTACTGATTCTGTAACAAATACAGTGTAAAATACATGGTGATCATATGGAGGCGAACAGAGGTTCTAGTTTAGAAATATTTTCTTTATAACCAGGAAGAAGAGAGATTTATTTAAGTCTTTTAACGATCCATGCACAACACACTTTTTTTAATTATGCATTCCAACATTGCTGTAAAGCTGACTGAACAAATAAAGTCATACATAAATATCTGATTATTTTTTTCCATTCATTGGATCTTGCTCTTACTGGGCCAAAGTTTTAGAGAAGTTGCAAAGTCCTAAAAGCTGTACTACGTCTAACAGTTTTTAAATACTATTTATACACATGTTGCTTTTCTTCTTGTCCTAAATACAGTAGTGTACATCTGAAGTACTCAAAAAACCATTAAATTAACTGATTATTCATAGCAATCAAAGGTGCCATTATGTTTCTTCTAACAGTCCTTTCAAGTTTTATAAAAATGTCAAGTCTGTAAGAGAGATTCAGTTAGCAAAATTCTTAGCGACTATATTTTTCCATACAGCCAGGCATGGCTAATAATGGTAAAATTCAGTTTGCTATAAAGATCCTGAGTATTTAAATGTATGTTACTCTGAGTTAAACTTCTGATTTTTGCAATGTTAAGTCATTATCTCTTTTCTCTGTTAATGCTATTTAATATCAGTTAGGATAGGAAAAGTTGGATCTTTTTGGATCTTTTCAGTAACAGTTACTGAGCTGATTATTCTTAACACTTTTATGATACCTACACACTTCCAAAAAATTCTTGATACTTTATATAGCATTGTAATGCTTTCTGTAGTGCTTTTGGAAAAGGGGAATACTTTTCATTCAGAAAAAGCATTTGTATTCTAGCCCTCTACCTTTATTTAAATTTGACTGTTTCCTGTCCAGTTTTTCTCCTATTCATTTCTTCTCATGCCCTTTTTTATTGGAGGATGTGTTTCTTAGTTGGAAAGTAGGCTCAAAAAGGTTAAACATCTTGTTGCCTTATGATTAATGCTTGTAATCCAATGCAAAACTTTCAGTAAACTTACTTGATTACTCCACTTCTTTCTCTTTGCTAAAGTGTCATTTACAAAAGCCAGTCAAAAGTGCTTTAGTTGTAAAAGAGTATCTATTCAGTGCAATGACTTGACTTCCCTGGCTTTTTTTTTTTTTCCCCCCTGCAGGAATGGTGTGGTCAGATGTTAAAAGACTCTGGTATGATGGTTTAGAAGACTTTTTAGAAGAATCCCGTAATCAGCTTAGTTTTGTCATGAATTCCCTGTATTTGGCAACTTTTGCTCTCAAAGTCGTTGCCCATAACAAGGTGAGCACGCATCTTCAGGGATCCAAAGCTCCTCTGGGACTCACTAGGCAAATATAGTTTTAGGACATTGCTACAAAATACGTGAAGAGATGTTACATGTAGTGTTAGTAGTAGTATGTTGCAGTTAAGTGTATTCCATTAGTAATAGCCTGCTATGTGGATACAGTTTAGGCTTCTGAGTGTTCTATGTGGTATCGGCTGTGTAGTTGTGAAGATCTCTGATCTTGTTGCATCTTGGGCTTGAAAGAGAAGTTTATGAGGCAAATGGGAGTTAGAAAATGCATCAAGACATCTCCAAGTCCTCAGGGACCCCAAACAGAGCTACTGTCTTCCTTGTAACAACTGACTGGTCTTCCAAATGACTTGATTTTCATTTAGGGGAATCTCCCCATACAACTCATCTGATTTGGCATTTGAATTCACTTGATTCCATAGGTCAGTACTATGCAGAAAGCTAATAGTAATCTCTGTGTTTAGATTGCCTAACGCTTTTCTGTTTCAGTAAATTTTATGTAGCTTTTGATTACATATGCTTAAATGTCATAGGTGGTTGGGGGGTTAATTGCTTTTGGTTTGGTGGGGGTTTTTTTTGTGTTGTGGGGTGGTGGTTGTTGTTTTTGTAGTAAGGAAAAATGCCCCAAGACCATAGGGGAGCCTTGGCTTTTCTCTGTGAAAAGCCGTCTGGATTTGATTGAAGATACAAGTTTTGAAAATGATCATTCCCATTCTGTTGCATGTGTTGTTAGCCGTGCCGCATATGGCAAGCTGCCCCACCAATTGAATATGAGTATTTTACCAAAATACAAGCCAATACAGTAGTACCATTATTTTGTATTGTAAACTGTGAGTTGACAGCTGTCTGGCAGTTGGGAGGGAAATAAACTGGTTCAGTTCTTCCCAACTTGGTGTTTGGCTCATTTCCCTATTCTTGAATTGATTCAGAGGCTGGTAATCATTTTGGAAAGGAAAGCTCTGTTTCTTGTTTAAAAAAAAAAAAAAAAAAAAGTGCCATTTTGGGCTTCCTTCCCAACCATTTGCTTTGCAACCAGGACATCTGCAGTAGTAGTTCCTTTGCTGAGATAAGAGCCCTTTGCTGCAATTTAAGTTGTAACCTTTTTGAAAATGCAGGACTCCTATATAATGGGCACATGATGGCTTTTTTGTCACGTTTATATGGCAAAAATTGTTTTTATTGTTTATAAATTATTTAGAAAACCATATAAAAATGCTTGGTTTACATCTTAGGTCTGTGTTGTAGGCACTAAAGCTGTAAGAAATAAAGGAAGAGTCTCTGTAGCAGAAGGATTTGTACACATGCAATTGCAATGTATGAAAACATGTTTATTCCTGTTTCTTGCCATCTTTGTGCAGCACTTTCAGGCAAGTTATTTTGAAGCAGCTTTGAGTTCCTTAGTTTTTGAATGTCCGTTTTGAGACAGCAGAAGCTGGTAATATAAATGTGAATGCTTTCAGCCAAGCTGAAAGTTAGGGATCTGTGGATATTCCATGAATAGTTGAATAGTACCTAGTGGATACACTTTTAAGTGTGTGTTTATACCAACAGTTTACTTGTGACTTCCATTCTCTGTACTCATTCATAAAATCCATTGAAGGAACCCCAGGTCCTAAGTCTTTCTAAATCTTTCAAAACCTGGTTGAAGCCAACTGTCACCACATTGCAATTGCACGCATACATTAGTTTTCTTTGCAGCATTTTAATGTTGTTTTTGACTGAGGCCTATTACACTAGGCAATGCATATGTTTATAAAGTACACAAGTCCCTGTTTCAACAAACCATGCAAAACAGAATAGAAGGTAGAACAGAGCAATAAATGGCTTGCTGAGCAAGTGAGTGGCAGAGTTAGGTGTTGAATTTAAATACTCTGATTTCTGGCTCCCTCTGGAATGGCTTTTAAAATGGCTTTGTCTTAAAAAGAGTGAGTTATCTGAAAGAGGTAAGCTATCTATGAATTGTATTGCCTGTTTTGGAGGCAGAAGTAGGGAGCAGTGCATGGGTGCATTTCTGTATTTATAATGTCAGTGATCTCAGTTTGTCCTTTTTATATTGCAGTTTCATGATTATGCTGAAAGGAAGGACTGGGATGCATTCCATCCTACCCTAGTGGCAGAAGGTCTTTTTGCTTTTGCTAATGTTCTTAGTTATCTGCGTCTCTTCTTCATGTACACAACCAGCTCTATTCTGGGACCACTCCAGGTGAATATCATTACTGCTTGAGAAAATATTAAACTTGATCCTAATTTGATACGAAGATTCTTATCTCTTATTGAAAGGAGAAAAATAATAAATTAAGAAAGCCAGAAAATAAAAAGTAGAAAGAAGTGATAATTGCACTGAAGTTTGCATTTTTAATCTCTCATGTAAAACATACTGATTTAGGTAGAAAAAGGTAAGAAAAAGAATGGAAGACCTAGTGTAGTTTGTTTTCTTATAATTTTTTCCATGATAACTGTACGTATACTGTCTCTTTCATCTGTTTTTAGCTTAACGTACTACGTAGGTGTCTGCAGTTTGAAAACTGTAAGGATCACGTTCTTCCTGTTCTATGCAAATGATCATCTTAACTTCTTATCTCTAAAAGATAGATGAATGAGATGTGTAGCAAGGGAAGAATAATCAAAAGCCTTTCTGTTTATGTCTGTGATCTCACTGAAGTTGCATGTTGAATTGAATTGTGGAAATTGTTTTGGTTTGAAAAATGTAAATCTTTCAAGAGTATTGAAATAGTCATCTACTTATAGAATCATAGAATGGTTTGGGTTG